TTGAATACCCCTCTGAGAAAAGAGTTAAGATGGATAGGCATTAATTAATATTCCCATATCACAGAGGAGAAGACCAAGGCTTAGTTGGCTAACTTGCCAACAACCTCAGAGTGCATTGACCTGTACTGCTTTTTAGGTGTATACACCTGTGTATACCTGTGAGGATTTGGAAAAGCTAGTCTTGGAGGTGCCTTCATGTAACGGCTGCATGCCGGGGCGGGGGTGGGGGGATTGTGATCTAGTGGGAGGTGGACTGGATTTGGGGTTAGAGGACCTGAATCCTAATCCTAGCTCCACTATTTATTTACCTGTGAGATCCTGAACAAGGTACTTTTTTGAGCTTTTCCAGTGTAAAAAGAGGGCATCAGAACAGGTGATGTCCAAAGCCTCTTCCAGCTCCAACATCCTGACATCTTCAATTCAATTTAATTCAAAGAGCATTTATTAAGTACCAGGCATTGTTTTAGTGCTGAGGATACAAAGCCAAAAGTGAAAATAGCTCCAAACTGTAAGAAACTTACTTTTCCACTTGAAGTGGGACAATATGTGCTTTGAGAAACAAATGTAAAATTTTGGGATGCAAAATATTAACACCTGGGGTATAGGGAGTAGGAAAGACTTCATGTGGGAGGGGGTACTTAAACTATGCCCCAAATGGACCTAGAGCTTCTAGGAGGCCAAGATGTAAGGGAAAACATTCAAAAAATAAGGAGGGTGAGGGATAGACTGCTTATTTTTAAAAGTTATTTTATTTTTAATTTATAGAATAAAACAAGCATTTCCACTACATAGTATAATTAAAAAAATATTATTGCACATGAAATTTCAAATCTATTATGTACAACTTGCTATTCCTTCTAAATATATAACAAAGTTATCATATAAATTTCTTTTTTTCCCAAACCTTTACATGGCTATGTAAATGATCCTTTGGCTATCCTGCATTTTCATGGTTATCCCTGAGGATCTGAATGAAACCAAATAAGAAAAAGCCCAGCCAACTGTGGTATCGTTTGGGTCCCTTCCAACTCTAAGAATTGGGGCTTCCCATCCTCGTGGTAATAGAACAATATTGGAAACAATGATGGCAACGATCGATTCCCTCGGGGTCTCGGTAATTAGGCAGGGAGAGGAAGACAGGAAACTTGGAGACTTTGCCGACCAGATGGAGTCTAGCCAGGTCCCTACTCAAATGATGAGCTCAGCCATCACCAGTCACTTTGGCAATGATCAGTATTAGCTCTATCTGGAAAGTGCCTGCCTCTCTTCGGGGCGCTTAATTCTAAAATGCCATACTGAGTTTGTTTAAGTGTGAAGAGCGCTGGACTGGGTGTCTAGTGACGGAAGTCACAGGATCTCTAAAGTGGAGGGGACCTCAGAGACTCTCTAGTCCTGCCTGTGCTTGCCTGAGAACTTCTACAACATCCTTCACAGGTGCTCATCTGTCACCTTTGCCTGAAGACTATAGTCAGGGGAAAGCTACCTGCTCTCCAAGCAGTCCATTCCACTTTGGACAGCTCCGATCATTAGTAAGTTTTTTCCTGACATCCAGCCTAGAATTTGCCTCCTTTTAGCTTTCAACCATTACTCCTAATTCTGCCTTCTAGTGCCAAGCAGAGCAAATTTCATTATTCTTTCCAGGATAGACCTTCAGATACTTGAAGAGGGCAGTTACATCCACCCTCTCCACCCCCAGAGTCTTCTCCAGGCTGAGTCCTTTATCCAATCTGGAATCATTTGACCTTGAGGTCAAGCTCAATGCCACCTTCTTTAACCTCCTGGATACCCTAATTTGTTTATCAATGTCTTTCCTTAAATATGAGACCCAGAACTGAAAATGGCACTCCATATTTGGTCTGTCTGTTTTTAAATATAGTATCTAGAATTGATAGTGGTACCCTGCATATGGTCTGACAAGGGCAGCAAATGATAGAATTATCTCTTTCCTAAACTTCTCTTAATGCCCCCTAATATTGCATTGGGATTTTGGGATTGTTATATCACTGTTTACTCATTGAATTTGTGTTCCACTAAACCACCCTGTTCTTTTTCAGACAAACTGCTGTCCAGCCATACCTCCTTCATGTATAGTATATCTTTTAAAACTCAAAAGTGTAGCCATTTATTCTTTTTATATTTCATCTGATTAAAATTGGCCCAACATCCTATCTCTCCTAGGCGGAAAGTACAGCAGCCACTGCCACCTTTGCTCCTAATATCATTGAGCATAGAAGTTCAAACCTGCTTCTTCTTTTCCTCTGGCCTGGGTTCACCCCTCCTTTGTTGTTTTTGTTGTTCAGTCGTTTTGTGTCCAACTCTTTGTGACCCCATTTGGGGTTTTTTTGGCAAAGACACTTCAGTGGTTTGCCACTTCCTTCTCCAGCTCATTTTACAGATGAGGAAAATGAGGTAAACAGGGTTAAGTGACTTGCCCACGGTCTGAGGTCATATTTGAACTCAGGAAGATGAGTCTTCCTGACTCTAGGCCCGACACTTTTTCTATTGAGCCACTTCACTGTTCCCGCCTTAGGCAGAATAGTCTGATGACCCTCTTCTGGGGATCTGGGGGGTGGGGTTCACCATAGTGATTCCAAGCTTTTAGTGTAGATACCAGGCAAGCTTTAGTTATACTATAGCTCTGACCTCTGGAACTCAAGGGGGTCTACCCATCTCAGTTTCCCCAACAGCACAGCCTCTCATATATTTTGCATCCTGTCATTTAGTCTATTGGCTATCTGCATGCAGGCATACCTCATTTTATTACACTTCATTTTATTGTGCTTCACAGATATTGAAGGTTTGTTGGCAACATTGCGTCCAGGAAGTGTATCAGCACTTTTTTTCCAATGGCATTTGCTCACGTTGTATCTCTGTGTCACATTTTTGTAATTCTTGCGATGTTTCAACTTTTTCATTATTATTATATCTGTTACGGTGATCTGGGATCAGTGATCTTTGATGTTACTATTGTAAGCTGTTTTGGGGGACTAAGAACCGTGCCCACATGGAACAGTGAACTTAATTGATAAATGTTGCGTGTTCTTACTCCTCTATTGACTGGCTGTTCCCCATCTCTCTCCCTCTCCTCAGGCCTCTCTATTCCCTGAGATACAACAATATTAAAATCAGGCCAGTTAATAACTCTACAAAGGCTTCTAAGCGTTCAGGTGAAAGGAAGAGTCGTACATCTATCTCTCACTTTAAATCAAAAGCTAGAAAGAATTAAGTTGAGTGAGGAAGGCATGTCAAAAGCTGGAATAGGCCAAAAGCTAGGCCTCTTGCAACAAACAGCCAAGATGTGAATGCAAAGGAAAAGTTCTTGAAGGAAATTAAAAGTGCATTTGTTTTAGCAATAAATCATTTTTCAAATTAAGGTATGTACATTTCCTTTAGATATAATACTGTTGCACACTTAGACTACAGTCCAGTGTAAACATAACTTTTATATGAACTGGGAAACCAAAAAATTCGTGTGACTTGCTTTATTGCGATATTCACTTTATTCTGGTGGTCTGGAACCAAACCCACAATATGTTCAAGGAATGCCTGTAGTTTGAAAAGCCTATTAATTGCCTCTTTATCTAAAGTCATCCCTAAAGACGTTAACCAGCTGAGGGCCAAGCATAGATCCCTGGGTCACCCCACTGGAGACCACTATGCTTTTGAGTTTGGTCCTCCGGATCAGGACTATCATTGAGTTCATATGACTCTGTCTTTCACCTACACCGATGAGCAAACTCAAAAGTATATACAAGATAGCACAGTTGGGCTCCGAGGCGTGGCAGGCACTCACTCCAGGCATCTCACAGATGGTCCCAGAGACTTCACCGTGTTCCCAGCTGGCCATGAGCATGAACTGACTTTTCTCTCTGGCTCTGTCTGTTTCTCTCTCACACCTTAAAGGCGAAAAGTGTTGAGCTTGTCCAAGGGAATTGGTGACGCTGGCTCTCTGAAGTGGGACCTGGCCCTCTGCCTCCTCTTGGTCTGGATAATTTGTTTCTTCTGCATTTGGAAAGGAATCAAGTCAACTGGGAAAGTAAGTCATGTTTGGTTTCTGTGTTCATTTTGTTGGGGGGAAGGTTTCCTTTGCTTCTTATCTCCTCCTAATTCACTTTATAAAATAACTCTTTAGAGCAGATCATCTTAAGCCAACATTCTCAGTAGAAGAATCAAAGGTGAAGCCTTTGGTGTTCTCTTACTTTCGTTTTCAGTTAGTGCCCTTCTTCTGCTAATTATACTGGTGTCTATGCTGCAGAGCCTTAGCTCGGTGCCTGGTGCGTAGTAGGAGCTTAATTCATTGAGCCCTTCAGAAAAGTTGTTGATTGGCTACTTAGCTGATGCTCACTTTCAATGTTCCTTCTCTCTGGGACATTTGCATGTTGATAGGCGACTGAAAAAAAAATTAAAAGGACTTGAAGATCTCTAAGGGTAAATTTTCTAGTAGAGGGGTAGCTGAGGGGATTGTGGGAATGGTTCAGGGTAAGTCAGGCCTTTCTAGTGACCCTCAGATTCCCCAGCACATGGGCCAGGCTAGACCTGTTACTTCAAATTCTCTGGCATATTTTGGAGTGGCCAGAATGGAGAATAGAGATTCTTAAGCAGAAGGGAATCTCTGAATAGATTTCAGGGATGTCTGTGAACTTGGATGGGGGAAAATGGTATCTTCATCTTCACCAGCCTCAAAGCATTTCTATCAATTATTTAGAAATGTGATTCCAAGAAGGGGTCCCTAGGACTCTTTAAACTGCCAGAGGTGTCCATGAAACCACAAAGTTTAAGAGCATCTGTCTAGTACAGATTCCTAGACTAGAAGCTGGGGCTTCTAGGAAGCTCTAGGTTATCTAATCCAACTTTCTCTAGATAAAGGAGTCCCCTCCATACCTGGAGGAGAGACAGCATGATGTAGAAGATACATTGTACTTGCTTTGGAATCCAAGCACCTGGTGTGATATTCTGTCTTCCATGAATAAATTTAGCAATTCCATGCCTCAGTTTCCTCATCTTTTAAATGTGAAGATCACTTCTAGTTTGAATGCCTATGTTAACCAACAGATGGTCAGCCAGTCACTGCTTAATCATGTTGAGTGATGGAGTGCTTCATACTTCATAAGACAGATTCATGTGTTCTCCAGATGCTCCAGGTTTTCTTCATAAAAATTTGATAGTGCACTTAAGGGTTATTATAACTCTTCTCTTTAAGGTACCTGGTTCTTTTTCTTGATTGAGAGTTGATATGCCACAATCGTTGGCCAAGGTACCATCCTCTCCATGCCTTAATTTCCACCACGTAGAAAAATAAAAACAAAAAAAAAATGTTACTTGTGAAACTTCTGTCTGGCCATGTTTTAGATGTTTGGAAGAATTTAAAAGAAGGATAAGCCATCCTTCCTTCATGGAGCTTATGGTCCAGATGGTAAGACAAGAAAAACAAGTCAAATGCTAGACAGGATGGCCAGATGGCCAAGATGGCTAGACTGGTCAAAGTGACTTAGTGTGGTTTTACACCACAAACTAATAGAGAACCAAGATTGGATCCCAGGGCTCCTGGTCCAGTGTACCATCCTTCCTCTGGCTCTCTGGGGCATTCTCTATTCTAATCTCCCAGAGGTGAGGGCGTGGTTCCCATATACATGGCAACCTCTGGAAAGAACAGAACAATAACTTTACTTCTGCTTATACCACACATGGCCAATACAATTATGGACAGGGTTCTTTGGATTTCCTTGCACTCAGAGAACAGTAAATCATCTGCCCATTGCCATCTGGTCAACATGCTAGACCTTTCCTCCCCAGAACCACTAGATTCTCTACAGAACTAGCCTTGAAGCTGTTCTTTGAGGTCTCTAGACTGGCTGAAAGATGTCAGGCTGGATGTTGGAATCAATCTTGACTCTTCTGCTATGAGACTCCCAGATATTCAACCAAGGGGCATCTCTCAACTTCAGGCTGAGATTCATCCTGATATTGTGTGATAGGAACACATGTTCTTGCAAAGCCACATTTTGAGAAATTTTGAGCATGGGGGTAGTGAACAAAGCCTTGGGTTGAGAATTAAGAGTTCTGATGTCTGGGTTGTCTACCATTAACTCACTATAGGACACCAGACTAATCATTATCTTATCTCTTTTGGTCTCAGTTTCCCCATGTGTAAAGTGAAGATAGAGGATTATTGGATATTGATCATTTAGCTTAGCTCTCTCATTTGGGACTCAAGTCTCCCCAAGTAGCAAGTAACAGAGCTAGACATCATGCTCAGGTCCTCTGACAATGACACCATCATCAACAACAAGAATCATTTATATAGAGCTTTAAGGTTTGTGAAATGCTTTACGTGCGAGCTCATTAATGCTCACTTGATCCATATTTACAAAATAAAATGTATATAGCACACATTACACCATTAATAGGGCATTGAAGGATGCTGTTCTACTCCAAGAGCCCTTTCGAAAGCATCTCTTGTGTGTGTGCCTACCACCATGCTGAGCACTTGGGGAGATGCAAGGTTCCAATAAGGCATGGAAATGTGGCATGGCAGATGTAGGGCTGGATTAGGAGCCATGAAGATCTGGGTTCAAAACTTAGCCCAGACTTTTACTTACTGTGTGGCCATGAGTGCACAGGGTCTTTGATTTAGAGCTGGAAGGGAACTGAGAGGCACTCTAGTGCAACCACTTCATTTTACAGATGGGGAAAATGAGTCTCAGAGAAGGAAGATGACTTTAGTTTCCTTCTTTATAAATGGAGGATTGTCATGAGACACCTGCCCCACAAGGCAGTGGCCAGAGTCAAATGAAATTGCAAACCTTAAAATGCTACTTAAATACAAGTTATTTTTCATGGTGGAGATAAGACATACTCTGGCCTACGCCAGAGGTGACTTAATCTAGCTGATTCTGCAGATGAAGAAACCCAAGCAGTTTCCATGACTTGCCCAGGGTCACATGGGTATTGAGGGTCAAAGATTTGAACCCATCCAGGCCCTCTGATTCCAGAGTGAGGGCTCTTTCTATCGTCCAACAGTTGGAGCTGGCCTCATTTTCCTCATTGGCCACATGAGCAACTGAATTACCGAGAGATATTTAGCCCTCTGTAAGGCAGTGTCTGAATTGACCAGTGAATTCAGATAACAAATCTCTGCCCCAGGCGAAGGACTGGACACTCCACACGTCATGTGCTTGTTTTGGCACACAGGCGAAGCTATTGCTAGGCTCCTGCCATAAAGGGAAAAGTTCACTGACTTTCAGGAGTCTGAAGACGTGGGTTCTAATCCTCAAATTGCCTCCTTGGGCAATTCACTTGGGCAAGTTGTTTATTAATAATAGTTCATGTCTCTAATTTAAAAGGGTGGTTGGGACACATGCTTCTCTTCCAGTGGTAGATAAGGAGATTGAGGTGCTGGGGAAGAGCGGTGAGTGATTTGTGCGCCCCTCCATAGCAAGCTGATAGCAGAGTTGGTATTGCTTCTGACACCTGGTCTCATGCTCATTATAGGGTACCACCCTGCTTTTAGAGTCCCCACACCTAAAAATGCAGATGAGAAGCTGTGCTTGACCTGCCTCAGGAATGAGAGCAAATGACCAGAGAGGGAAGTCACTGGGCTTTGCTGCCCCTCACTGGTGTGCATTTGTGATTCCCAAGGTCCCTTCCCACAATCCTTCCTTACCTCACCTTCTGGCAACCTGGGCCTAGGAAACAAGGGTGTGGTTTGACTTTGTGGTTACATAGACACAAAAGAATGTGTTTGACTAAGTTGTTTCTTCTCACACCCTAAAGGCTTTTCTGGATTTTTCATGAAAGTGGAAAGAATGCAAAAGGTTACTGATTGTGGTAGAGGCTGTGGTTCCCTCCCCTCCCCCAGGCTTTGAATTTCTGAATGCAGGGAACTCCTGGTGTGGAACCTTCCTTTACCAATGCACATTGGCAGTTCATCTGAAAATCCTCTTATAGTATCAGTTACCTGGGACAGGTATATGAGAACATAGAATGTCAGAACTGGAAGGGACCCTAGATTGTAGAATATCATAGCTTGAAGTAATCTTCGACCAGGGAAGGTTAGAACTAAAAGGGAGCTTGAAAATTATACTGATAAAACTGGAGAGACCTTTAAATATAGAATATTAATCTTTAAGGAACCTTTGAACAGAGAGTATTGGAACTGTAGTAGACCTGGAAAACCCAAATGTTGGAGGTAGAAGGAACCTCAGAATACAGAATGTTAGACCTGGAAAGGGCCTTAAAACATTAATGTCAAGTTCATGCAAATGATCCCTGCAGGCTGCAGATTAACGTAGGAAATCACAAAATAACACCTTGATGTTGTATTTTTATTTATTTTCTTAAACATTTCCCTGTTATATTTTCTCTGTTTTCAGGGCTTCATTCTGGAGTTTGGCACCTCTGCCTTAGAACACAGAATTTTAGACCTGGCAGGTGCCTCCTTAAGCTCATCAAGTCTCTCATTTAGATGGGGGTGGGGGTAGAGACCCAAAGTGGGCAGGTGACTTACTCACAAATCCACAGTCAATTGGTAGAGTGGGTCTAGAATGGAAGGACTCATAAGTCTTACTATTTCATAGAATCTTCAAATTGGAAAAGTCCCTCTTCTAGCCCAAGGGTTCCTAACTTTTTTTTTTTCTGTGTCTCAGACCCCTCTGGCAGTCTCTTGAAGCCTATGGACGCCTTCCTTCTCAGAATTAAGTTGTAAAATAATTGAAGAGAACTAAATTTTAGTTAGAGGTTAATAACACTCAAGATGCATGTTCCCCCCACCATAGTTCCTTGTGGGCCCCATACCAACACCTCCCATCTATCCCAACCTTCCTCCATCTCCCCTATCTCCCACTTTACGCGGGAGATAACTGGGGTAGATCATGTGGTGACTAAAAACATGGTTCTAACCCCAGCTCTTCCATTATATTAGTCTTGTGCGAGTTATTTCCTTCTTGTTTCCTGCCCTATAAAGTGAGGGGATGACAAGAGATGTTCTCTTAGGTCCCTTCTAGTTCCAGATGTCTATAATACTCCCATGACTTACCC